ACGGTGGGAATAAAACATACGGGGACTTTGAGCTTGTGTGATGAACAGAAACAGACGTGTTTACTGGAGTGTTCAGAGGCAAGAGCTTACAACACTATAGCGTGGTTAGGTATGCGCCCCCCCTAGACTAGCATTATATTACATTTATGTAATACAACATGAACAGCGCATGCGCAACAACTGCTCGGGCGAATAGCGCATACGAACAGGTGTCCGATGCTCGGACGAATATCCACCTCCTTACCAGATATGGACTCCAGGCATGGACTGCATAGTCTAGGTGAGGCCGGACTAGCGATTTGTACAAGGGAATGATTGTATGCTTTGACCTGTCTGTAAAGCACGTTTTGATGACCCCTAGTACCCTATTGGCTTTCTTGACTGCTTCCGCACACTGCCGTGATGGTTTGAGCGATGAATGTATTATAATTCCCAAGTCTTTTTCTTCCGTCGCGTTGGCTAGGGGTGCATTGTTCATGTAATATGTGGCCTCTAGATTGCCATGTCCCATATATATGTATACATTTGCATTTGTCCAGGTTAAATAGCATTTGCCAGTCCTCTGACCATTTAAACAAAGAGTTCAGATCCTGCTGCAGCCTGTGTACTTGTTCCGGTGTTCCTACAATCCCAAACAACTTGGTGTCATCTGCAAATTTGGAGAGGTTATTCACCACTGTTTCATCAATGTCATCTATTCAATGCCAGCCTGTTTGATACTTTATATTGAAAGCAAAACAAGTCACTGAAATTATCACATAAACTGTATTAGGCCTGGGGTGCAACAAGTGGACCATGTAATGTCTACAAGTAAATTATTTTTATTTTTCCATGTACATGCACAGTTGATAGTTACGATCAAGATGCCCCCAAAGCAGAGGAAAGATCGTCCCACAAAACGAAGATTCGCAGGGAATCGGTACACTGGCTCCCTGAAAAAAGCTTGCCTAGAGGATGAACCAGCTCTGCAGGATGAGGATGAGGAAGCCTGTGCTTCTGCAAAGAAGGTCACTGTCTCAGAAAAAAGTGCTCCTACACATATTCAGGGCTATCGTCTCTTTGATGTTGAAAATTTATGTGGTGAACTTTATTCAGCAGTTTCCATGTCCCAAGTGTGGTTCACAGCTTGGATACTCAGTGACTGAGTGTCTTGTTGGGCTTAGTTCCTGCTTGAAAATGACTTGTCGTGAGAAAGGCTGCATGGAACGCTTTGATCTGAAATCCCCACCTAACGGAGAGAAAATTATTGCTGTCTAGCCCCAGCTTTATTAAAAGTTCGTAGGACTGGATTGATATGTTCTGGCATCTTACATGGAACCATCGTTCGCAAAGTTCACATTGTAGGGCCTGTTCCCCCTGCTCCACTGGGTCTTTGCAGTCACCACATTCGTCTGGAGTAAATACATCATCGTCTACACGAATATCACTAGGTGTAATACTAGACGAGGCCGGCTGATCTTTTATAAGTGACCTAGTGCTGATGTTCCCGCCTTTAGCACCTCGTTGGCCTCTTCTTTTAGAGTCTGACATAGTTGCTGGTAATAGTTCACACAATATGTATCAACCGTGAAAACACAGTAATATATATCCGATAATTGCAATAGTCTAGTCGAAAATAGTACATGTGCAGTCTTATGTGCAGATAGACGCCACAACAAAGTAATTACTAAATACTAAATAAATTTACTGAGTAAGATTTAAAATTTTTTTTTTTAATACTTAGTAGTAGTACTAGACTTCGTCCCGGCAGCCGCCCCGGTAACACGCAAGAGACGAGATAGTAGGCTGTGTTAGTAGTTATAGCGAATATATAACACTCACACTGTGCTGAATTTGGAAAGCCCACCAACTTATACGTCTACGTGTAAACAAAGAGCAAGTGTAAGTTCCGGCGGGAAAATTCTAAAAATAAAATGGCTGCCGGTAGTTTTGTGAATTATATAGTTTTGTAGTACACAGCACTCTACAAGGTACTAATTATTAGCTTGAGCATTTATTTTACCAAGCGATAAGATACGTAGTTATATTTGTTAGTAGAGAGTTATTTCATGAAAATATTTCAACTAATCCTGATATCACCCGACACCTGGAGCTCTTCCAAAACACGTCATGCCATGACAGCAACGTCCAACTGGTATCTGTGGTCTGTACAGAGCAGAAAGCGTACAACTACAAGGCCGGGTTCTTTCCATGCGCATACTTACTACTTACTTAGAGTTAGATACTATCCCCGTCCGTCCTAGCTGATGTCGGGATCCGGACATGAATGTTTACAGCGTGGCCGGCAATGCTGTGGTCTGTGACACAATGAAAAATCACCCTAGCATTAATAAACTTAAAGCATATACAAGTTGTATTCTATAGCCGGCCAGCTAGAAATTCGTGTTTAAATCACACTGTAAACATTTTTCTCCGGATCCCGACACAGGTTGTAGTATAGCCCTGTAGTGGGAGCAAAGGCTACACCAGTAGAACTATCCTAGGCCTTTAACTTGGGTTGGGTCTGAGAAGCCATCAAAGCTAAAAGTAAAACAAATTTGAGACATAAATCCTCGGACCTGTCCTAATTGCCTCATTGACACACATGATTTCTAACTCTGTTTACTTATGACAATCCCAACACAATCACGCTGTGTATTCACATCTTTATGTGTACATCTCCTAACGAAAAGTAGAAGAGTTCGTCTGTTTTGGGATTGTTTATAACATGTGTAATTGACTCCAGTGAGCAATCTGGGATGAATTGCCTGATTTCCCAACATCCCTTCTTAAATTCCTGAGGAAAACCATGCAAAAAACTGTAATACGTTAAACGGTTTTCTCATCCAATGGAATGTTGTAGAAAGCTTGCTTTACTTATCATTGTTAGTCAGCTCTTGTGCATGTAACTATCAAAGTGTTGAATGGGTGGACCATGACATTGCACTTGGTTGCTATCCCCAAAACAAACGGTTTCTTCTTGGTTCCATTAGGTTTTAACTTGGAATAATTGTCGACTTTCTGGAGAACGCATTCGCTACTATTTCAGTTACGATTGCATCAATCTCCTTTTCAACACTTGCAAGTTTGTGTATTGACTTTCTATGTGTCTGGCTCATATGTTGTGTTGAACTACACATGTGAGAAAATTTTTTTCTATGCTTCCACTGTTTTTTTGCATGCAGTACCTGCTTCTCAAGCTTCGCTATTGTTTCGGCCACAACTATTATGTGAAATATGTCAAGAGTATGTTTGTGTTTGTTTGGACCCCACATTAGGCCAAGACACACTGCAGCAACAACGTTCCTAACGTTCAGCGTCAAACTCAAAGTTGCAGTTACTGGCACCTGCCAAACATTAAGGTCATAATAGGCATTAAGTGGCATTAGGTCAAAGTTCGTCTCATTTCGGGCTACCTAGCATAATAAACACATGCACACGGACGCGGCCGCACGCACATATGCACACACTAACTAACTCACCAGCGCACACATCTACGTGTTGGAGGAAATTTGAAGTATGTAAACTCGAGACTGTTGAATGTTACTTGGGCTTACCATTGATTTCAAGGTCCTGTGCAAAGGATTGCCAATGATGTCTATTAGCTGGGCAGCCTTGAACTAATTAAGTACCTCAGATATTATAAAAGCAAATTTTCCTGAGCACGTAAAATGGTCTGCACAACAGACGTTCAGACAGCTGAGCAACTTAATTTTTTGTTACGAAATGTGTTTGTCACATGCTGACGAGTGAGGTGGCGTGTAAAAACCTGATGCAGTAAACCAGGCTTGACCTTTTTTTTCATTTACAGTATAAACAAACCTCGTCTGCTGCCAACTGCGTGATGATCCCACACACACTGCCATATTGCACTCTAGTGGATGAAGATTTGCTGAATGAAGCTGTAGAGGATGCCAAGGACTGGAACCTAATGCATGGTGTGGATGAAGATAAAGAGAAAAATCCTTGAAATGTGAACTTGTATAGTGTTATAAAGAACATTAGGCCAAAACAAAATGTATGTGTGGTTACCGTTACATGCCGAAAAAAATAGGGTAGGTAGGTAGGGAAAACATTTTATTTTCTTGAAATATTTTATTTACGAACCATGTCCGAAGGATGTGCGTTGTGCCTTTTGAAGCAGCACTTTTTTTTACTTTAAAGAAAATTGACAATAAAATGTTTAGGGTCGCTGGGAATAAGTAGGGTCGGTCCGGAAACCGTAACCACACCTATATTTTGTTTTGGCCTTATGAGAATAAAATATAATTTCCATTTTATTTGCCTTTTTCTTAGTCGATGTCACCATCTCTGTTGTCGTCATTGTCATCTTATTTGCGCTTTTTGACGTATCATCACAATCGTCATCATCATCGTCATCTTCCCTAATCTGGGGGCTTTTGCCAGGAGATGCATTTTTTCTAGCTTTTCAACAGTTAAATTAGTCAATCTGCCTCACAGAGTGATGGAATGCTAAACAGACTTTATCATTCATGATTAAATAAATCTTTAGCAGACAAAAAATACATGAACACGTTTTTATTATATTTCAATGACGTTTTACGCACACATTTATCCATTGTAAAACACACTCGGAGGCATGCAATATTTTGTACAGCTGCCCGATCTGACTTTATCACCGGCTATCACGACAAATCTGAACTTTTTGAATAAAGCGGGAGACACTAATGTGTGCATGCTGCATGCACTACAGAGCGTATTTCATCCATCAATTCTACCGAATTTTTAGTTAATCTTACTTGGGTTATTACTCCTACAACATTAGAATGAAATATTATGCTTGCTTTACATTGTAGGAAATGTGATGAGGACAGCTGAAGCACCCGGGTCATCAGAGGTTGTCAACTATGCACCATTTCTCCTGTATCCGTCACCATTCCCTCGAGTTGGACTTCAGGAGGCAAAGCGTGTCCAGTATGCCGTCAACAAGCTTATTCACTCTGTAGCAACTGACTTTACATTCCTAGAGGAAGTATTGCAAAGGTAAACGATATAGCTGAGAATTTTTGTCTAGCACAGAGGGACACCTGACGACTTGAATCTACCGGAGTAATGTTTGACTACTGTTACTACTGTTGCATACTGAGTAATATTGCATACTTAGTAGTGGTCTGAGAGTAAAATATTAGTCCACTGAATTAGACTACAGTAGAAGTCTGAAAATCCAAACTGCTCGGGGATTAATTGGGTCGGTCCGGATTTCCAGATTTTCCAGATTCTCGGGCAGTAGTTTTAAAATTCGAATTTAAGGAGGAATAAAGACGAGATGAACAGGTATTTTTAATAGTTTATTTATTAGCAAATGCAGTACAGCTTGCTTCATTTATCAAAACGAGCAGTTTAACAAACCAGCAGAAATATAAATTCAACACTTGACAAAAATGTAAACAAAAAAATTTACTACAAAAATGAGCATGTAATGCTTGAAATCATGTTTAAAAATGAACATTGTAAAAGAAAAATAAGTAAACAAATGAAAGCAGAAGGTATTTTATAGAAATTAATTATTTATTTTTAGTTTATTAGAGTATTTGTATAAGTTTGAGAGTTTTCAAAAAGTCCAGATTCTCAGGTGGTCCGGATTTCTGGCATCCAGATTTGTGGACCGTTATTAAAATCATGTCCCACGTAATTGTGTCTATTGGAAATTCATTACCGTCAGTGCAATAAAAAGTGTTTGCTTAAACAAGTATCACTATTTTTAGCTCATCTGACAGTCAGATGCAGCTTGTAGAATCGCATGATCGTCCGTCCGTCCGGGCGTCAACAGTTGGGCACAAATCTTAACCGCTCGACGTACGGTCACGATATTCGGGACGTGGGGGGGTAATCCGAAAACGAGTTGGGATGTCGAAGCTGGGGGTCAAAGGTCAAAGGTCAAGAAGTGTAAAAGAAGCGGGGACATTCACTCCTTAACTTTTTAGGTATAGGAGGAAATGCGAATGCGGCACAAATCTAAACGGTCGACTAGGCTCGTTTATTAGTCGGTGGATAGATCATGGTTAGGAAAAGCCATCACTTTGCCGAAATTGGAGGCTCACAGGTCAAAGGTCAATGGGACAGAGCAGATTTTAGACATTTTCGGAGGACATTGGTCTGACGGGCGATTTGAAAAACTTTTTGTTTCAGCGGTGACCTAGTTATTTTATGCTTTATTGAAAGGACCATGAATGTCCCTTCTGCTGACATTGCGAAAGAGTAAGTGTCGGATCAACCTTTTTACCCTCAAGAGGGTCGTTAACGTTGGATTTGTTGACTGTCTGTTAGAAAGAATTTGACTGCGGGGTTTGCTAGTAGAATCTATACATGCTGGATGTAATGAGCGCTTAAAGTGTCACAGTGAAATTTCAAAAGCTAAATTTGGTTAAAGAAGGTGTATGTTCCTTAAATCGTATAATTCTATGTCATTCTGTACTGTCAGTATGTGTTAAATGATAACGTATGCCACTGCAGTGCTGCCTGCCAGTGCATGTGTTGGTTGCCAGTTTTGCTTGCGTTAATTGCGTTGCAGGTGGCCCAGCGTCTCTATTGCAATTTGCAGCCTGTAGGCTTGCGTATGGTAAATGGATGAGTGTTATAACTATTCTGTCTTGCAAATAGTTGTTTGCCTACTACGTATGATGGAAGCTTCCATTCTTTAATCTGAAGACCTTAAACCGTACGCCGCCATCTCGTGGCAACTTTCATACGATCCAACGAACATTCTTCTTGAGAAGGTTCCTGGATACCATCCTGTGCATTCCACTGGTTCGGCGTGTATGTGAAACACATTTGGGACTAACAGGGTTTACTAGAATCCCACCACTCCACCACAGAGTCACCGCAGTAGACGTTAGATGAGCGCTGTCGCTCTGCGGCACTTGTTTAGTATGATAAGAAGTCATTATTTTATGTGCTTTCAGTTTGCATATTTTGTTTGAACATGCCAGTTAATGTGCTGTCGGTCTGTGTTTCTTACTCATGTGCGTAACTTCTGCCCCCACGTTTCTAAATTGTGTAGAGCATGCATGCAGTAGACACTTACTGACATTTACTCTCTGGGGGAAAAACACATTCATTGCCCTATAGTTCTTTTAAACATCTAAAATATTATACATATCGTCCTTGCTGAATCTCTTTCTGTGGTTACTGCTGTATATTGTCACAGAACACCGTAGACCGGTGCATTTCTTAGCAGACAACTGATGGGACAGTGTATGTTTGCAAGGCCTACTGCTATTCACAGCTTTCAATGCATCACCATCTGTTTATCGGCGCTATAGTATCATGCGTGACCCAATATTTCAGTCGAGTGTCCCGTCTTATTATATACGATCTTTGCTAATAACAATAACTTGTCAGAAATTTATTACAGACCGTAATGTATTGCAGCGAAGGTGAACGTTGTTCTTGATACTGTTAAGTCCATTAAACCAGCATTACTGTAAGTGTAATGGTAACTATCATATTTGATGTTTTTTAATTTATATCTTGTTTAAACAGAGCTATCGTTGTTTTGCAGTGTCATAGAAGTAGATGTCTTTACAAGAAAGTTGTTGGAGATCTGCAGAACTGTACATAAGGAAGGAACGTCACAGGCATGTGTGTTTACTTTTTATTTGTGCATAGTACATATATGGGGCAATGTAAATACAATATAATGTTTCCACGTTCCAATCATATGGGTTTCTTTCCTAAGCTGAAAAACTGTTGGCAGTACATATATTTAGCAAAATTGTGATATTTATATGATATTATTGCGTAAACATGTTAACTAAGCAATACAGAATGTTCTTAAATGTAAAATAACATATATTGGTTGCTTGTTTTTCAGGAGATTCATTTTGGCATGTTAAGGAGTGACTATATGTTTGACACTAATACAAAGCAAATTAAACAGATTGAAGTAAATGCCATTGCATCAAGTTTTGCAGGGTTGGCATCTAAGGTCTCAATGTTCCACAGGTATAAGTACTTAATAGTGCATTACGTCTTTGTTCAAAATCAGATAATCAGGGAAAATTTTATATGTAGATGCAGTATATTGGCTCATGTAAAAACACATGGTGTTGAACACAATCTATTATAACGAATCAAACTTTGGGCATTGCTATTAAAATGTTTAACAGTTGCAACCCTATATAGTTAAAAGTCTTCTGCAGTATATTTCACTGATATTTTAATTTTTCCCTTCCTGAAAATATGGTTTGGTAGTAATATTACATAATAGTACATAGTACAGTAATAGTGCATTATATCTCGTCTATGTGGTACCATGCCAAATAAGTTCATTCCAACATTTCTTTATTGTTTAAGGTGGTTTTTAGAGAGACAGGGTTGGACAGTGGAACAAACAGATAAACACGTAAGTGTATATCCATTTAAACATTTTATCTACCACATACATTATGTTTGGTATAAACATTTATATATACATATTATATATATATTTTGGTATAAACATATAATGTATATATATATGCATGTTGCATATATTTAGTTATGCAGTATTACCCTGGCTTATGCAACTAATGCATCCCAATGGAACTATAAATGCAAGTAAATGCTTATAAACACACAATAATTATTTAATGATGTAACACAGTAACATGACAATACTGGGAAGGAAAAACTAGTTCAGGATTAAAATTATTAGGATAGAGAGGGGGATCACTGTTACTAGCCGACTTGCCTTCATTATCAGTATTGTCATTGGCTTTGGGTGTTTCATGCTCCGATCTGGCACCCGAAAAGTTGGTTGACATTTAAGGTGGACCTTCTTTTTGTACAGTTCCCTGTAGAAGCTAAGATCATTCTGAACTGCTCTGGGAACTTCGAAGTTACACTCACAATTTGGGTCATTAGCAGCAAAGGTTTGCCAGCCCTCTTCTATAAGTGCCAGCCTTTAGCCATTTTTTATAGTCATCTGATGTGGGGTTGGTGGAATTCTTACAGGGAGTAGGAACATACATTCTCTAATCACGTGAAGAGTAGAACACTAAAACACACTTGACTTGCTACATATGTATTACGTTAATTTTACTATGAGTGAACATGCTACTTTTCGTGTATATAAACCTGCTCATTCTTTTACAAAATTACACGAGAGTGAATTTGCATTTTGTGTTACAAGAGTGAATTTGCATTTTGTGTTACAAGAGTGAATTTGCATTTCGTATGTTTAGTGGTCATAGTTTACAAATTACGTATGAGTGAATTTACATAACCTGAGTTGTCATAACCACGGACCTTGACTCCTTTTCGTCTTACGTGCTTTGTCCTCGCAATCAAATATTAATTTATAAGCCATCCCGCACATTGTTCTAAACTCATTTTCCAGCTACCAGAGAACACTGCTGCAAGTGGGTTAGCCAAAGGTTTGATAGAGGCCTGGAAACTTTACAATAAACAAGAGTAAGTGGTAGAATTTTGCTTGTTTTAGGACATCCAACAGACCAATTTCAATAAAACATCCGACTATTACCCAACTTAATCGTATTTTTATAATTTCCAGTGCTGTGATTCTGTTTGTCGTGGAACCTGAAACCAGGAACATATTTGATCAGCGTGATATTGAATATGAGGTCTACAAACAGCAGCCACAAGTACGAATAATAAGATGTACCATGTCAAAGGTTTCAAAGGCTTCACTAGACTCTAACTCCAAAGCACTACTTATGTAAGTATCGCACGTGTAGCTGGCTAAGAAGCTTACTGCATTTGCTTGTAATTGGTTATCACACCTTTGGATTGCAGCTAGAATCATTGCTGCTAAGTTTATATTTTCATATGTTATAAGTCATTGTGACAGTCATGTGGATGGCAGGTTTGTACCAATTAGTTGAGTGTACCTAAAATGTTTTACCGTCGTTAAATTGAGATTTTTTCTTACTTGGTTTATTATATGTACAGTTATACTGCACACTTATTACCACGTACATAAACTTATATACGATTTACAAACCACTTCAAGTGAAATTTTATTTAATTTCAGAGATGGCAAAGAAGTTGGAGTAGTTTACTATAGAGATGGATATGCACCAGATCAATATACATCAGATGAGGTTCGTATAGTTGATAAAAAAAACTATGGAATAAGCTACACCTTAAACTCTTCACCATGAATATTGACACCTCGAAAGGAGACACATAGCACCATCTTCAGTGGTTATACAGGCTCTCCGTAGTGAGCTGCTGAAATGTGAGATAAGCCTGGCACAGCTGCTGGAAAGAGAAAAAGCAAAAAGTAATGATTAATAAGATATAACTACAACATCTGGGCTGACCTTCAGATACACAAATATGGCAGAATCTCTCTATTTCGAATAGCAGTGTACAGTCATAGCACATTGCATCAAGATCTGACCACACAAAATCCATAGTCTCAGGAGAGTACGATGCTGCCTCCGATGGTGATGGATAAAGCAGATATAGCGTAGCAACCAGGTGGAGCAAACTGGACGTTAAAATAAAGTCATATAGTGATTTTTATGAATCTATCAATAAATCTTGTGTTTTGTGCTTTTTGCAGGTTTGGCAGACTCGATTAAAAGTGGAGCGAAGTTCAGCTATTAAATGCCCATCGATCCAGTATCACCTAGCTGGAACGAAGAAGGTACAGCAAGTACTGTCCAAGCCTGGCATGTTGGAGAGGTTTCTAGATGCTGAGGAATCAGCATTAGTCAGAAAGACATTTGTGGGCCTCTATAGCCTAGATATGGTAAGAATCATTACGTCCACATGATAGTATATACAATTTCTGCACACGGTTGTTCTTATTTTTCTCATTTTTTTACTGCCAAATTATACACAGATTGGCAATTTTTAGAATAAATAGTTCTAGTTTGATCACATTTTTGCAATAAAATTTCCTGTAATTGGTTTGCCTACATATGTGGACAATGCTAGTGGTTCTGTTCTGATATTGAGCAACAGACATAATGAGTATAACCTTTTGAATTGCCAGAATTTGCTGCAGTGCGTTAAGAATCTGCTTGCATACGTCTTTCCACTAAATTTGCTCCTGTTCTTAGTGACAGGTTCTTGCACGCAATGGAAACTGTTAATGTTAACTGTCTTCCATATTCTAGTTCAGCATGACAATCAAGTTTCTTTCTGTATGCCAAGTGCTCTAGTGAACTGCAACTAGCACAATCTCAATTGCACAATAGTATTCTCTGCCATAGGACAAAGTTTTCCACTAAATTCGTTAGTGTTCTAAATGACGTGTTAATGTTAACTGTCTTCCATATTCTAGTTCAGCATGGCAATCAAGTTTCTTTCTGTATGCTATCGTGAACTGGAGCTAGTACAATCTCAATCTCACAATAGTATTGTCTGCCGTAGGGCGAAGAGGGAGATGCTGCCGTCGCCATGGCGATGGAAAATCCGGGCAAGTATGTGTTGAAGCCGCAGCGGGAGGGAGGAGGGAACAACACGTTCGGGGAGGCGATCGTGGACGTGCTCGGCCCAATCAGCGACACTGTCGAAAGAACGGCATTCATTCTTATGGAACAGATACATCCCCAATCGCACAGCAACTACATCATACGAGCTGGCAACCCACCACACGTCGAGAACGTCATCAGCGAACTGGGCGTTTTCGGAGTCGTGATAGGGTGTGTATATACACTCGTGGCCGCCTGTGCTGCGATGCATTGAATTTTACGGTGTGCATGTGTTCGTGCTGCAGCCTGTGTTGCTATGTAGGAGTATGTGGGGACATGTGTGGATTTTGCAGCCCTTGTTATAGTGCTATGCTCGCCGCAGACTACGATTTTGCTCGGGCCGGAGTCGTAAGCCCTCGCACACCATATGCTCGGCACCCGATCGATCGGGAGGCCCCCGCACACTGTACAACTCAAAGTTGGCGCTAACCATGGCGCTCTCGAGGCGTTCAAAGCGGATTTAGCGTGCACTAAGGGTCGGGAGTGCTTCCCCTAGCAGCAAGCAGACGCACATCCAGCATTTTTTTCCAAAATGAAGTTAAATCCAGCTGTTGTATTGTGTTTGCAAAGGAGGCGTCATAGAAAGGGCACTTTAAAAGGGATAGAATCGATTGTACTCGCCACTTGTTCCCAACTTCGCGGCAATTTCTGAAAGGTGTTTGGTCCTTACAACTCTGTTTGCATAATCCTTTTGGGTGCAGTCATATAAACACTCATTTTCAAGCCACAATTCAACAAGATCGTTCTCCTTCCCGTGCGTCCAAAACTCCGCCACTTAGACGGAATGCGCTTCCCATGGCGCTGCTCTGTGATTGGTCAATTTTAGGGGAAACCCCTTCAGCGCTCGGCGGCGGGTCGGATGGCCACGCAGACTATACGAGTCGCGTCATATACCCTCGCACACTATACAACCCGCTCCGCTCCCGATTCAAAATTCGAATCGGCCCAAAATGACCTCCCGATCGTGTCAAACCAGTCGGTAGCCAGACGCCTGGGCTCGGGAGACGATCATAAGCTTCCCGATCCCGCTCGGGTCGTATAGTGTGCGGCTAGCATTAGGAATTCTGATGACATAAATGCGAGTGTACCACAAGTAGTATTATTATGTATGACAATAATAATGTTACTCATATGTTTGTGCGAGTATGTTAAATGCATTGCAGTTTGTGCCATAATGTAATGATGTATGTGTATGGCGCAGTCTGTATAGGTTATGTATTCTCATGTCATGTAAAAATGCATATTGTTATAATTTCTAAGAAATTCCAATCAGTCTGTCAGTATAGACTTGAAAACAACTGGTTTCATTAGTTTCAAATTAACCTGTACTTGTTACATGGTGATGGTGCTTGATGGTTGCTTGTGCTGCAGTTGTTGTTGTTGCTGTTGTTGTTGCTTGTTTTTGAATGCTAATATAAAAAGAAACATTGCTTGCAGGAGAGGGAAGGAATTGTTGCTCAATGAGCAGCATGGACATCTACTACGGACAAAGATGATGGGCGTTGATGAAGGAGGTGTTGCCATGGGTTATGGTGCTATTGACAGTCCATATCTGGAGTGAATACGTCAACCATCCAGATTTTTTAACCCAGCATATGGGGTTCATAGTTTTTTTATGAGGGAAATTTTTTAATACATAATCAGTGTTTCCCCTGGCCAAAAACGTCTGTGAGGTGGTAAATGTTTTTTGGTGTGTTTGCGCATTTCGAGGTCCTAGCAAAGCGAGGCCTTGCCCAGCTAGGGGGTCCGGGGGAATTTTTTTGGAAAAATGGTGCAATTTGCTGCATGCCAAGCTATTTTGCTGCATCATAAGCACTGTTCTTTGGAAGAACAGTAATTTTCGGCAGCGAGGTGGTGTTTTGGACAAATTTCTGTGTGGTGGCTGAGAATTTGAGCGAGGAGCCCCCCTCGCTCGTGTCAATGCAGAGGAAACACTGTATAATCATGGTAATGAATGACGACTATACAGATGTGATACCAATGTTAGGGTAGCTATTCTTCGATGTAATCTTGTACGAAAGTTGTAGCCGACATCAAGTCAGAGATATAATAGTCGAGATATCAAAGCAGAGATTAATATAGTTTGTTCTTATCAACATATATAGGTGACATTGTCCATGCACAACTGTATATCCCATATTATGATGGGGTAGACAATCAACGCGTATGTCAAGGTGTGTTGAATATGACTATTCTTCATTCCACAAATACGTTAAGCTATGTGATAGATTTGCAATGTGATTGTGACAGCTATAAGCTATGGAGGTACAAACAGAATAATAAAAAAACTGCTATGAAGAACGACGTTCTTTATTTTCTGTAAGAACAAATATTACAGTCACATAATGACCATGAAGAAATGTAATACACCATGTATAAAAAAAAGAAAAATATGCACTAAAATAAAAAATGTACACATTACTAACACGGGGGTCTACTCATTACAACTAATTGTTCGTGAGGGGGAGGGAGGATCACAACCACATACGGTTACTCTGCTAAGCTTTCACATCTTAAAACAATTATGCAATGGGAAATAGCTTCGTACAGAGTCTGAAGGTATGCCAATAGTTGGCCTACGACATCCTCGTTGCTGGAATGATTGACGATGGCCATACTACCGAGGGTACAACCTTACGCCTTCACTAGGTCCTCTTGGCATGCAAATCTGACATTGAAATCTATACTGAAGCAACCGTACAATGACGCGACACTGATGGGTTCCCTGACACAGGGTATTCCCTGCAATCATGAATTTCCTAAGAGTACCTACTTGTAGTGATAATGAATACTGCTTTCTACAGAGACTTATTCCTGTGCTTGTGTTCGACCTCGTCGCTTCTAGCTTATAGCCTAACAACAGAAGAGTTCTCAGGAAATGTCACAAATGCAATATAATGAGATTCTAGTTTCACATTAAAATTTGGAACCAAGTCAGCAAGTTTTCTTGCTGCTACACCTCTTCCTTCATTTAGTGTGTCTTACTTAAAAACAGAAATGCAAGGTTCCCCATGGTTACAACGCTATGTGTATATCACAATAAATACATAATTACAGCCGTCTACTAATTTGAGTGATTCTCATCGATTAAAATCATTTAAACAATTTACTTAAAAATCGTTATCGTGATCAGTGTATAAAACAGCCTTTACCTAAAACGCGCTGAATGAACATAAGAAAAGGGGACGAGTCAACATTGTGGAACACAAGAAAAACCTGTCCATGTCACGCATGTTTGCGAACTGTTACCGCTCAAAAACTAGGCCTTTATCTCTGACTAAATGCGCTTTGCTGCAACATAAAAAATAAAATAAAAGTCTTCGCATACTCAAGTAGCGAGGTAGCAGCTAACACTAGGGAGATATTATGTTGTGTAAAACGACGTGGTGCCTTTCGCATTTATCAAAAGTTTATATCAATGTCTACACTGCTATATACGTTCGTTAAAGCTGTTTTGTGTGCACAGCTTTAAATGTCTACACAGATGTAGGCCTACATGATCCGTTGACAATGGCATGCAAAACTGTGAATAACATTTACATTATACTTTCACTCACTATCCACATCTCATAACACATTTTGCTAACAACCTTTCCATTGATACCTATAGTCATATAGAAATCATTTCCCGAAGCATTTCTTATCACCGCTAAGATTTTTAATGATCATCCGTAATTTATTGTTTAATCTCCTCCTTGCGTCGCAAAATCACTGACTACACCTTCATCCCTGGCCTAAAGTAATATTCCCGAGCTTCTTGGAAACGCCATTATCTCATCCTGCTATTATCTGCCATTATAATCTCATGACGATGTTCACACAACGTCTTGGCAGCACAACCCAGTGACAGTTTCCGGCCACAAATCATATACACACACAGATAAAGACATGGCTTTGGCAGTGCAGCGGCAAGCATAGGCACCGTTAGGGATGTTACCAAGAGCTAATAATGTATTATTAGCTCTTGATATTACTGCAAAGATACTCACATAGAATGGCAGTGTTATTCACTAGATGGGCGCAATCAGTGCTACTGTAAGATGCTGATCGGTGGTACAGGGGACCGAAAAAGGATTGACGATTTTGTTGGCATCACTGTTTTACACAAATTGCTAGACAATTTTGTACATGGTTTCATAAACAAAATGCGAACGTGTACAATGATACAACAACTAAACAGCTATCACACACACGTGCCCACACACAATCACTGTTAAAAGATGAGGCCAGAACGCAAGGCTCTGCCACTCGATGTACATGTTTTGTCAGTAACAGGGACTATCTGCAAGTTACCGGTGGTTAACCATAAAAAGGCATGTCTGACTGTTACCAGCGGTTAACCGTCAGCAAGTGTATCTGGGTGGTACCTGTGGTCAACTAGCACCAGGTCTACCTGGGTGTTACCTGTAATCAACTAGCACCAGGTCTACCTGGGTGTTACCTGTAATCAACCAGCAACAGGTCTACCTGTGTGTTACCTGTAATCAACCAGCACCAGGTCTACCTGGGTGTTACCTGTAATCAACTAGCAACAGGTCTACCTGGGTGTTACCTGTAATCAACCAGCAACAGGTCTACCTGTGTGTTACCTGTGGTTAATCATCAACTACTAGAAGGCCTACCTGAGAGGGATCCATGGTTACTGATCAACAGGTATACCTACAAGTTACCAATGTTTTACCATTAGATAGTCATGTACTGGTTATCTGTAGAAAACCACGACAGGTACCTGTAGGTAACCTGTCAATAACCATCAGTGGCATTACCTGCAGGATACCTGTGAATCCAGGATTCATCATCACCAGAATATAAGTGATGATACATAATATGAGGAAATATATCAAAACTTATCTTACACCATTCTGCATCTTTTCTGTTGAACCACACATGGTTTTAACACCTTCTAGCAGTGCGTCATCTTTTACATATGGTTTATGTGTTCTACATCTGTACATTATTTTAGTATAAACACACCCCAATTGCTGAACAACTGAAGCGCCTATCACTACATCTATGCAGCTTCAATATTTAGATAACATTAACATGTACGCAACAGTCAGAAGTCTCGAGTCCCCTTGTTAAATGCTTTACACCAATAATATCAAAGCTTATAATTCACTCAGCAATAAAACATCATAATTTTTCATGATTTGCAACTGTACAGCAATGGACACATTCACTTCTCAAAACTACAGCAATAGATATCTCGGCAAACATCTCATGATACCGTGGCACTCAAACATCCTGCAAATATTGTTCATACTGCTGTACGGTTTACAGTGTCAGCTACGTGAACGGACATTTGCCTACCATAGATTGGCCCACACAACGGAAAGAGACCCACCTAGAGCGACACGAAGTAGACACATCACAAGTTGATCCCGATTTTGTTTTTACAAAACATTTGTTCAAATTAGGTCCACGACAGAAAGCCTGGCCTCCACTCTAAACAACAGCCTTCAGAAAACAAGAGGCTGCTATGTAGTCATTCTCCCTGCAGAATGAACCTATCACTATATATATACATACATATATATAACATGTATATATATTACATAATATGTGTATATATGTATAACATATAGAAGCACACCAGACGTTCTCTTGCTTAGAGGGAGCCACTGTAGCCACATCACAAGCTGCTTACTGATTATTATTAACAGAGAGTATTTTACACATGGAGCACGCTAGCTGGGTAGTAGCTGCTGCGACAATCAGTCCTTGTCGTCTGGTCGACGACTCTCAGCCAGCTGTACGGACCTCGATCCCGGTCCCGAGGCGCACTCCGTCCACGCCGAGAGTGCCTCCGTCGCCAGCATTCAGTTTTGGACATTCGTTCACTTCTGTGAGAACCTCGGTCGCCGACGAAGCCGATCTCTCCGCTGACCGGCGGTCAGTCTCGGCGCGTCGGAACGTCAATGCGCGCGCGCGCGGCGATTGACTCAGTCCTCCTCGCCTCCATACATCTCGGCGAGCTTGTTGAAGCGTGGTCCCCAGTTGTTCAGCCGGTCGAAGTCGAGGTCTTCGTCGTCAGTGCCGCTGGCTAGTGAGCTTAGAGAGCCAGCGGTGCTGCCACACCCCTGCAGCGGAGAGAAGCAAGAAAATGTTGGATGTTTATGAATGAAAATGCGACGGTGGACGGACGGCAGTTGTGGAAGAGTGTTGCGAGAACATGAGAACACGGAAAGCTTTTAACATGAGAATGCTGGCGTTTACTTAGAGAGCCAGCAGTGCTGCCACACTCTTGCAGCAGAGAAGACACTCGGTGAGAACATGGGTGCATGCGGGAGGCTCAGTGAGAAAATATGTGTGCGGGAGGTTCAGTAAGAAAATATGCATGCGGAAGATTCAGTGAGAAAATAAGTGTGCGGGAGGCTTAGTGAGAAAAAATATGTGACAGTGGACGGATGTCAGTGGTGGAGGAGAGGCGCGAGAACACAAGAACACGGAAACCTTTTACGAGGAGAATGCAGGTGTTACTTGAGGGCGTGTTGAGAAGGATCAAGATAACACAGGCATCATAGAGTGACAGTGCAGGTGTTGAAAAGTTGACAAAGTTGGTAAAAGATGGTGGGAAAAAGATAATATTCTGGGCACAGAGTATTTGATCCATCATACCTCGTACGCGTAGTTCCGGACATCGTCCCTAGGGGGCGCACCGGGATCATCGTCGGCTTCGTCTTTGCGATTTTTAATGAAATCTTCTATGTCAGGATGTTCTCCTGGCGCTGAAGTGAAACAATAACGATGAATCATTAAAAATAATCAATTACACTTGGCTGACCTACAGTGAGACCTACCATTTAGCATTCACTGTCTAATGGCAGCATAGGAAAACCAGTAAAAATAACCTATTATATATACTATATAGTAATAATATATATATTATATATATATAATATATATACCTTGTTATTTTACTGGTAACAATATCTGGTGGTATATATATATTAGTATATATATATCCTGTTGAAAAAGATTAACCTATTTTTTAAACTTAAAATTAGTGCCTAAGTTGGTGGATTTCCTTTGGCAGAAGTATAGGACTGTTAAGAGTCTTAACAACGTCTGACAACCGTACACACACGTGAGGCCCTGCCGAGACACGATGCACTTACGATACTGGGGATGAGCCTTGCGCACCGGCCGTGCACTCTCTAGTGGAGGTACGGTGGTCGGCGGCCGGTGGTGGTTGGGCTTGCTGGCTTGGTTGCTGCCCGGTGCGTCTGAATCAGCAGGCTTGCGCAGTTTGCTGATGTCATACGCATCCTGGTCATCCTCCCCGCCACCCTCATCCTGACACAAGACGAAAATATGCTCTATGTAATGCTAAGAACATTTTCTGGTACAGGCAGCAACGACAGAATGAACTTGCTGCCGTACACAGACTTAGGAACGCCTGTTGCTACACAGTTGTAAGAACACTTTCTGCTACCTACAAACGCAAGAACACTTGCTGCTATACACAGTTGTGAGAACACCTTCTAGAACAAGCAGCAATGGGAAAAAACGTGCTGCTATCTACAAACGTAAGAACACTTCCTGCTACACACAGTCGTGATACAAAAAAGATACTGGTAAATGCAGTGGCAAGAAGTTATTCGAACACACAGTGGCTGGGAAGAGTTACTGGTACATTCAGTGGTCAGAAGAAATACTGGCACACATAGTTGTGTGTTATTGCATAGTGACATCAAGTGTGAATGCCACGTAGTGTAAATAAGAGCATTTGGTACACACAAGGTTGATGTCACATATTGCGCAATGAGTGATGAGGAAGAGTCAATGTTTGCATGGCAAAACGAGATTGTGTTTATTCAGCAAGACGTACCTGGTAATTGATTATATTCTCCCTAATGTCATCATCTGGATCTATGTCATATGGATATTTCTCCTTGGTGCGCCTCCGGTTATACATCACAAACACGAGCACCAATACTGCATCACAAACACACACACACACACACATTAATTAATGGTCACTCTCTCACAGCACTGAATATTTTCTACACACTTTTTAGATACTAAACCTAAGAGAAACTACTTATAAACAGAAAACGCATGGAGAATTTTGAAGTATTTGCTCTCTGGTTACCACTGATAATTAATATTTGAATGGATTTTAATATAAGGCAGCTTAGAAACGAGTAGATATATAGTATGCGTAGAAAGTTAGGTACGTAGTGTGTAGGTAAGTAGGAAACCTTTTATAGGGTCACCTACAGTAACGGCTTTTACACATAAACGAACACTTACTGAGCAGCAGCAGAAGGCAAACAAGTATTGCAGCTAGCGCCCCCTTGCTGAGGTCGAGGGCAACCTCTTCCCGCCGATAGTTGCAGTTCTTGCCTTCCCAACCATCTATACATCTGCAAGTGGGATAACAATTAACACTAATTAACACGAGTAAACATCACCCAAAATTATATCTGACATGTAGGTGAAAACACACATATATCTTGTGTCTTATACTATAATACATGTATAAGGTTGTAGATGTCTGTGAAATACAACAATTCTCGCTTTTACAAAACATTAACATGTCTTCAGAAGTGCAAAATAGCACAATAGAATAATGAAATCAGATAAAAAACAGCATCTCCATTCCATATGCCAAACGTTCACAGGCCAGACTGTCACACATTCATGTAGTCATTCATGTATGGTTAATGTAACATTCATGTAACATTCATGTATCATTCATGTAACATTCATGTAGTCATTCATGTATGGTTAATGTAACATTCATGTAACATTCATGTAGTCATTCATGTATGGTTAATGTAACATTCATGTAACATTCATGTAGTCATTCATGTATGGTTAATGTAACATTCATGTAGCCATTCATGTATAGTTAATGTAACATTCATGTAACATTCATGTAGTCATTCATGTATGGTTAATGTAACATTCATGTAACA